CTCATAACATTTTAGTTGTGTTTCTTACCCAAATTTAGTTTTTTTAATTTCCTTCTTTTTTCTTCAAACTTTTCTGATATTAATAACCATATGTCTATAAAACATATATGATTTTTTGAGATATATGTCTTGTTACCTTGGCAACTGAATTGGTATATTGAGTTTTATTTTTTTTTTTACTGCAAGAGATTAGGTTATGATTTGAAAATTATTGTATTTGAAACACAATTATGTGATAATAAGATATTGTACAAAGCCTTGGTCACATACCACATATTTTATACCTAAAGGAATATAATTTGTTTTAGAGGATTTGCCTGAACTGGAAGAGTCAAACTTAGTATTGTATGAAGATAGGCTTCTTTGGATGTTTATATGGACTTAGTTCATGGACTATAAATATACTTTAAAGTATACACACATTTTAACATTCAAGAAAAAGTCAACAACTTACAGAGACTCATGTGTTTTTAACTTTTCATTGCTGTGACAAAATATCTGAGAAAAATTTAAAGAAGAAAGGGTTTATTTTGTCTTACACTTTCAGAGGTTTTATTCATGATCAGCCAGCTCCAAATGCTTTGGACCTAACGTGAGTAAGAATATCATAACAGAAAGGACTGGGAGAAGAGAGCTGCTCACCTCATGGAAGCCAGGAAGCAGATAAATAAATAGAGATGGGACAAGATGTACTCTCCAAGGCCTTCCCTGAAGAATCCACTCTCTGTAATTAGGTCCCATCTCTCACAGTTGCCACTGTCTCCTGAAAGTCCACGTAGCTAGGAATCCATCAATGAATTAATCAACTGAATTAGGTTAGAGCCCTCATGATCCAATCACTTCTCAAAAGCCCCAACTCTGAACATTGCTGCACTGGGGTAGAACCTTCTACACATGAGCCTCTGGAGGACATTCCATATGTTATCATAACATAGTATAAATCTTTAAAACGCACACTCACAAGTTTCTATATGCACTATATATATAATATTATATACATATTTTATATATAATATATTATAATATATGTACAGTATAGTTTTAATCATAGCATAAATAGAGTTTGGTATGCTGGCTTTTTCAATTAATGGGTAATTAGAATCGTAATACTATTTTTATTTTAAATGAAGCTTATCATGATACTGTCAACAATTTCCTTTGTACTTTGTCTTCCAAGAAGAAAGAAGTCTTGTGTTAATTTTCTTCTGTATTACTCAAGATTATATGCACAATTTATGTTATTCACATCAGTGCTGATGGAAAAAGAAAGACAATAGTAATAATCCAACCAAAGTTCACTGTATTAACTCTGTGTAATACAGTGTGGTAACTGTGGGAATATCAAAAAAGAGTTGGCCCTGACATTTTGATATGTGTTATTTCCTGGTCAGGAGAGATAAAAACTACATGATGAAGAAAGCAAAGTACTCAGCAAAAGTCATTTAAGATGATATACACATGTAGAGAATGGAGAAAAATGGAAGAAGAAATATGGATGGATGAAATCAAAGATATAGTATGTGAGCTAAGCCTCGGAAAAAATGCATTAATTAAATAAAATTTCCACCAGTAGAGAAAATGACAAGATGGAAATGAGGGAAATGTTCATTTTCTTTTTTTTTTCAGATTTCATTTGTTATTATTTCTGAAACAAAATGGAAAGTATTCACTGGGAAGCTTCTGTAGTTTTACAGCATTTTGTCATTGACAACTGTGTCTCTATATGGGAATAAAGTTGAATACTACAAGAAAAATAAAATCTCATGAAACCAAATTATTACTCTGTAATTAATACTATTTAATCCCATAATTTAAAATTACCCAATGAATTAGAATGCCCACAATGTAATAAAGCATGAAAATTTGTTTTTTGTTGTCACAGTAAAACTCAATGGAAATTTTTCTTAATACTCTAACTACAGTTTTATTACTTTCAAAATACATTAACTATGCATTTAATTTGCATTTTATTTTGTCCTTTAGAGAGTTTCATAAGTTTTAAGAATTTCTTCTAATATGTTTTCCATGCTTATTGTTTAGAAATAATTTATACATGAGTTGCATAATGTATAATTCTGGCATATATTTTATGTACATATAGTTATAAATAGAGTTGACTCATGGATATATGTAAAATTAAAAGTATTATATCTACTTTATGGCATTATAATGAAACTCATTAATAACTCCTCTAGTAACATTATTTTAATAAGAAATTATTTCTTGAGAAAAAATACAGTAAGAAAGGAAAATATTATTTATTTGCTTATACTAGTTATAAATGTCAAATGTAAAAATATAACAAATTATGGAAATGAATATTTGAATAATTCATACACAATGCATTCTAAACACTGAATAAGGGCTTTAGTTGAAAATTCCTAGATAATTACAACACTGTTCCTCAAAATTTGAAAGTATTCATATAGATCTTTAAAGTTTAGATTGTTGGTACCTACAACTTATCTTTGTTTAATCATCTGCTTTTATATTTTGTTCTTTTCACTTGCAATGGTCACCTCAAATTGATCAGATTTATATTCCCTCAAACTTTGCAGATGAATTGTGAATCTTTCTAATTTTACGTTTTGTGAGGGATTCAATAGCTTAAAAAGTGCTGTCATATGCAATTAAGCAAATGTGCAAAAACTATGTGTATAATAAATACTCTCATATTTACAAAATCTCAAAATGGAAACACTCATTAGTCATTGGATCTCTCTCCTCCATTTATTTAGATTTGCATTAATTATACTGGATACAAACCACTAGCCATTTATAAACAACTTTCTCAAAGAAAATAAATACTTCCAGTGTCAGAGTCACATTAGTTGTAGAAACATCAATGTATGTAAAGTTTGCAAATACATAAATAAATATCTATGGAGATAGTTTGGCCTGTATTCCATAGCTATTCATTGATTTGGTCTTTCTAAAGAAATATTGGGTCCCTATTCTATGTAGGGAAAAGACTAGGTGTCAGCAATAGAAAAATTAATGCGATATAGTCCATACCTGAGAGTTTTCAGTTTCTTACCTGAGATACAAAAGTAATTTTTGTAAATAATGTGGTAAATGCTATAGTGAGGAATATGACTGAAATACTGAAAAGAAACATAGTTTACTATGAAAATTATACTACTAAAAGTATTGTTTATGGAGTGAAATATACTTTGTCCCTCTGGCAAGGCATAAGTAATTTAAAATTTGAAGGGAATTCTGAGATTTCTTTGAATTCATAGAAGCATGTGTGTCATTTTCGCCATGTCTGGGCATTGCCAGAGAGTGTTATCAAGTGTTACTACAGAGAATGAAAAGGCTAGCCTTGTCTCCAATTCAGAAACTAAGCCCATGCTATTATAGAAACATGGTGGACTTCAAGGTTCCATACAAAGCTAATTAAGCCTGCATGTGATTCCTCTGGATATCAGGAATTTCCTTTGGCAATGGAGCTCTGAGCAGTGTGTGAGCTTTCCCTTACTTCCCTACATGTGAAATTTGTCCTCCAACTCATGCCATTCTTGGAATCATGGCTTGTCCTAGAACATTGAGCATGGTAGATGGAGAAGGCATGTTATCTGCAGGAACATAGTTTTGTGATAGTAGGAGCAAATGTGACTCCATTTTGTTTTATGACTTCATCCTGTAAAACAACCATGCCAAGTAGAAGAGTCATGACTGGAGCAAGATGTTCTTTTCCTTTTGCTATAGAAACCTTTAAGAACACGGAACTACCTAATAGGGTATTGTTTCTGTAACTAGGGTAACGGGGCTCTGTTTCTGTAACTGGGGTGACTGAGCTAACTGTGATTGGTTAGGCTTCCCTCCGCTTGACTGCACTGTCCCGCTTCTGTAACCTGGCTTGCTTGCATTGGCTAGACCCCCGAACATCCCTTTTGTGGTTTTCAGGCTTATAAAGAGTGCCCTTGCAATTGTTCGGGGCTGATCAGGGGAACAGCTTTATGTTCTGGTCAGCCGCCACCGGTGTGCTTCAATAAAGGCTTGATTCGATTATACGTGAATGGTCTGGAAGTCAGTTTATGAAACCCTGGGACAAAGCTTTAACTATAACAGTTTGAAAACAAATCTCAAGGACTCACCAGTCACATTTCCTTGACTTCAGTCTCATGGAACTTAATATATTTACCTTTTTATCCTTTTGGAATCAGGGAGAGATCTTACCTGAGATATCCAAGGAATTTTTGCAAAAAAAAAATGTGGTCTTCTGAAAGGTTAATAAAATAGGTACTTGTCACTCCGTTTTTCTGTATGCTTAACAAAACACTGTTGAAATCTTGAGAACTGTTTGCTAATCTTGTTCCCAGAATGTGCTGTCCCCAACTGCCAAACTGCAGAATGTACTCCCTCACTCGGTTGCAGGCAAACCGCCCACTCGCCCTGACCCGTCAATGAACTTCCCTCCCTGCCCTCTCCAAGGAAAGTATATAAGCTCTGCTTAAGCTGTTCTCAGGGCTCTTTGCTCTATTCAAGTGAGCTCTGAGCCCCAGCATGCTGGACCCCCAATAAACCCTTTGCTGTTGCATGAGACAGTCTCTTGGTAGTCTCTTCCTCCTACGCTCGCCCGACCTTTACATATGGAGGTTCCACCGAGATCCGGCAGTGGCGGACGAAAGACCCCCAACGGGCTCCTCTCGGGGTAAGTAAGGCGCCTCTTTCTGGTTTCTGGTTTCAGGTTTCAGGATAGGGCTTGGCAAAATGGCTGTCGGTGAAGAGCATGAGCTCTCTCCGACAGTGGCTGACAGACGTGTCACAGAACCACAGACCACGTCCCTGGGGGACGCCCCAGAGGACTTGGGAAATCGAGGAACAATAGTCTCCTCGACTCAGTGATATTTTGTTTCTGATTCGGCATTGCCAGCCCATTGGGTTTTGCCGGCTACTCAGTCCTGGTCTCAGTGTTGGACGTCCATTGCCTGTCTTTATTGTCTTGTCTTGTCTGTGTCGTGTGTCATTGCTTCACTGTTTGTGTATCTTTCATTATGGGACAGAGCACTTCAATGCCTCTGTCCCTGACCCTTGATCACTGGACCAAAGTCCGCTTAAGGGCTCAGAATCTTTCTTTTTCAGTAAAACGCCGGACCTGGAAGATTCTCTGTGCCTCAGAATGGCCCACCTTTGGAGTCGGATGGCCCCCAGGAGGATCTTTCTACTCCCCACTAATTCAAAAAGTCAGAGATATTGTCTTTCAGCCGGGGCCACATGGCCATCCAGATCAACAGCTGTATATCTTAACTTGGCAAGACCTCTGCGAATCTCCTCCTCCATGGGTGAAGCCTTTCCTTGTCCCTGCCCCCGCTCCTATTCCTTCCCCCATGATTCTATCTCTCAAATCCTCTGCTCCTCCTCCTCCTCCACCCTCTGTTCTCCCTGAGTCTCTAGATTTGACTCTACTGGACTCTCCTCCCCCTCCTTATCTCCTGCCCTTGTCCCCCAACCCCCAACACCCTCTAAGTGATTCCCCTGCTGCTGACTCAGCCTCTCCACCATTGGAGGAAGCTGAGCCGGCCCAGCGCCCTCTAGATGACTTCCCCATGGCACACACAGCCCCTCCTCCCCTGGAGGAAGCTGGCCCAGCTAAAGAAACTCGCCAGTGGCGGATGAATAAAAACCCTGAAGCCCCCGTGATACTCCCCCTCCGTCCTTACGGGCCAATGATTGACAATGGCCATGGAGGAGAAATGCAAGCCTACCAGTATTGGCCTTTCTCCTCTTCAGACCTATATAACTGGAAAAATAACAATCCCCCTTTTTCCGAGGACCCCACCCGGCTCACAGGTCTGGTTGAGTCATTGATGTGTTCACACCAGCCTACTTGGGATGACTGCCAACAACTCCTAGGCACTCTCTTCATGACAGAGGAACGAGAGAGAATCCTCCTGGAAGCTAGAAAAAAATATCTTCGGACCAGACGGGCGACCGACACAACTTCCCAACATAATCAAAGCCGACTTCCCCTTGAACCGACCCAACTGGGACCCCAACACCCCTGAAGGTAGGGAACATCTGCCAACTTATCACCGGGCTCTAATAGTGGGTTTCCGAGCGGCCGCTAGGTGACCAACTAATTTGGCCAAGGTAAGAGAGATTATTCAAGGGCCTGATGAATCTCCCTCTATGTTTCTAGAGAGAATTATGGAGGCATATAGGAGATATACTCCTTTCGATCCTCAGGCAGAGGATCAAAAGGCATCTGTCACGATGGACTTTATTGGGCAAGCTTCCCTGGATATTAAAAGAAAGTTACAATGCTTAGATGGATTACAAGATATGACTTTGAGAGATTTGGTCAGAGAAGCCGAGAAGGTATACTATAAGAGAGAAACTGAGGAAGAGAAGGAGCAAAGGGAGGATGAGAGAAGCAAAAGACAGACTAAGGCATTGACTAAGGTCCTGGTCACAACAACAAATAGGCCAGAAATTAAACAGGGAGACAGGAAGGGATACCTGGGCCCACGCCAGAGGCCACCTCTGGCCTCAGATCAATGTGCCTACTGTAAAGAAAAAGGACACTGGGCCAAAGAGTGCCCTAGAAAGAGACAGCCACGCCAGCCAGCCATTCTAACTCTGGAGGATGACTAGGAAAGTTGGGGCTCAGATCCCCTCCCCGAGCTCAGGGTAACTTTTGAAGTGGAGGGGACCCCAGTAAACTTTGAAGTGGATACAGGGGCAGTATACTCAGCCCTTAAGGCCCCATTGGGCCCTCTATTAAATAAAAGGTCTCTAATTCAAGGGGCTAACAGCAGTAAATATCGGGCTTGGACAACTAAGAAGACCATGGACCTGGGGAAAAGAAAAATCCATCACTCCTTACTAGTAATCCCAGAATGCCCAGCCCCATTGATGGGCAGAGATCTGCTCACCAAGCTCCAGGCCAAAATAACTTTTAACCCTGAAGGCCCCCAAATGAAATTTCTAAATCCTTCAGTAAAAACTCCTATAGTCATGGCTTTAACTATGTCAGTAGAAGATGAACATCAACTCTTCACACCCCCCAAGACTGATCAAACAGGCAAGCTACCCCAGAAATGGATAACAGATTACCCAGATGCCTGGGCAGAAACTGCTGGGTTAGGCCTAGCCATGAAACAACCTCCAATAACAGTGGAGTTAAAAACCTCAGCCTCCCCAATCAATGTCAAACAATATCCTTTGAACAAAAAGAAGCTAAAGATGGGATAAGGCCCCATATTCAGAAATATCTGGCCTTAGGGGTCCTAAGGCCCTGTCAATCGGCCTGGAACACTCCCCTGCTACCAGTAAAAAAGCCAGGAACTGGGGACTATTGCCCCGTACAAGACCTAAGAGAGATCAACAACAGAGTGTAGGACATTCACCCCACGGTACCTAATCCATACAATCTGCTTAATACTCTAAACCCTGAGCAAAAATGGTATACTGTTCTGGATTTAAAAGATGCTTTCTTTTGCTTGCCTCTGCATAAAGATAGTCAGTTGCTGTTTGCTTTCGAGTGGGTAAACCCAGAAACCAGAACGTCTGGTCAACTAACTTGGACTAGACTCCCACAGGGGTTCAAAAACTCCCCTACTCTCTTTGATGAAGCCCTCCACAGAGATCTCAACAACTTCAGAACTATGCACCCTGAAGTCACCCTGCTTCAATATGTGGATGACCTGCTACTGGCAGCTGACACCAAGGAAAACTGTGAGTCTGGAACCCAAGCACTATTATCCGAGCTTGCTCAACTTGGGTATAGAGCTTCTGCCAAAAAGGCCCAAATTTGCCAGCAAGAAGTAATCTTCCTGGGCTATTCCCTTAGGGGCGGTAAACGATGGCTCACTGAGCCCAGAAAACAAACTGTTGTGCAGATACCACCCCCATCTAACAGGAGGCAACTCAGAGAGTTTCTTGGGACTGCTAGCTTTTGCAGGTTATGGATACCTGGGTTTGCGTCCTTAGCTGCTCCTTTATACCCGCTGTTAAAGGGAGATGCCCAATTCCAATGGAACCCTGAGCACCAGCAAGCTTTTGATAACATCAAAAGGGCGCTGCTATCTGCTCCGGCCTTAGCACTCCCGGATGTAGAAAAACCCTTTACTCTCTACATTGAGGAAAAGAAAGGAATAGCATGAGGAGTGCGCACTCCTACTCTAGGACCCTGGAAAAGACCTATAGCCTACTTGTCTAAAAAGCTGGACCCAGTGGCTGGTGGATGGCCCCATTGCCTAAAAGCTATAGCAGCGGTGGCCCTACTAATCAAGGATGCTGATAAGTTAACGCTGGGGCAGAAACTAACCATTATAGCCCCCCATGCCCTAGAGAGCATCATCCGCCAGCCACCAGACAGATGGTTATCAAACTCTAGAATAACACACTATCAGAGCCTGTTGCTTGACAAGGACAGAATAATGCTGGGACCCCCC